CCACCTCAGCTGCCGAGCGAGGGCGACTACGATGCCGCGACTTTGGCGGCCAGCGAAGAGCGGATCGAACAGCTGGCGAAGGCAGAGGCCGCCTACCGCCACACCGACCCCGCATTGGCCCGAGATCTCAGGAACGTGAGAATGCTCATTCAGAATCGGGGGAGTGCGGCAGTGTTGCATCGCTTCAGAGAGGTCAGCGGCCTGCTGCCTGTCGGGCGAGAGGGCCCACTGACCAGAGAGAACTGGCGCGCCGACAGACTGCTGCCCGGCCTGCCGCACATCGGCTTCGATGCCTTCGGGACGCGTGTACCCATTCGTAAGGCCGCCACACCCACACACCCCCACTCATGTGTGTGTCTCTCTGTGCGTGTCGCTTGTGTGTGCAGCGCACAAAGGTCGATGCGGCGTTGGTGTCTCAGCGCGACAGCCAGCGGAGCGTAATGGACCTGTATGATGGCCAGGGCAGCTCACCCATCTGCACACAGGACTTCACGCAGCTGTGCCCGCTCGGTTGGGAGAAGATCAGCCCGTCGCTGTGCCGCGCGCCCGACACTTGTTCGCTCGTCGGCCCGTGTCCGCGCGTCCACAGCTTCGCCGACCTGTCCTACAGGTACACACAGAGACACACACAGATGAGTGGGACACCACGAGATGTCTTTCTGTGTGTGTGTGTGTTGTGCAGAGAGAAGGAGGAGTACGCCGTCAAGTGCGATGTCCGATGGCCTTGCAAGGTCAGACAACACATACACGAGACGGACGCCAACTAACTAATCCACACATTTGGCGTCGTGTGTGTGTGTGACTCCATCCATCCGTCCACAGAAGTGCTACCGCTCCTACACGGAGCCTTGTCCAGCCGGCTGGCGCGACGTGGGCGGCGGCTACTGCAGAGCACCAAAGGCATACACCGACACGAACGGCAGATGCGAGACCCTCATCAGCTTCGCATACGCCGACCAGACAACGAGACGTCTGTGGGCACAGGTGCGGATGTCTCTCCGTGCGCATGTGTGTGTGTGTATCTCTCTCTCTCTCTCTGTCTCTGTGTGTGAGTGAATCTGGTAGGACTGTGGCGCCGACTGGCCATGTCAGGAGCAGTGTGAGCCGGACCTCGCGGCAGCTTGTCCCCTCGGCTGGACGCACCGCCCGTCGGCCAGCGGCGAGGAGGGCGGCAATGTCTGCAGCGCCCCGGCCGAGTACGCTGGCCCGTGTGATCGCGAGTTGGTGATGCCCGAGCTGCCGCAAGAGAAGCTGCAGCTCATGGACGAATGCACCTTCAGTTTCCCATTCATCAGTAAGTCTGCGCAGATGGGGTGGACACATGCACTTCATCCAAGAGGCCCTCTGTGTCTGTGTTTGTGTTTGCAGAGAAGTGCGAGGTATGTGTGGGTGGAGCGTATTGACATGTGTTGTGGCGGCTCACGTCTGTCTGTCTGCAGATGGACTTCTGGCAGAAGTGCCCCGTCGGATGGACACTCAAAGGCACACCACATCACACCACACACACGACATGATGTGACAACATGAGCATGTGTTCGGCTCATGCGCTCAGGCTTTGCCTTTGGCAAGTGCGTCGCCCCAAAAACATATACAGGCGCCTGCCCACGCACCCAGAGGCAGGACCCACACGCAGATTGAAAGAACCATCTGTGCTGTGCACATTGGGGGGGTAATGTGAGGTGTGTGTGTCAGTTTCATTCTGTGGTCCAAGGAGGACAAGTATCGGTGGACTCAGCTGTGCCACGCCGAGTGGCCGTGCAAGGGAAAATGCATGCAGGACTGGACATACGTAAGAGCAGACACTCAGTTGCCATTCCATCCATCTCGATGTGTGTGTGCGTCTGGCTCGCAGAAGTGTCCCTTCGGGTGGCGCCGCGTCATCAAGCTGCCGATCTTCAAGGCAAAACCAAAGCTGCGGTCCGCCCCACACACCGAAACATACAGACAGACCATCGCACATGGATGTGTCTCTGTCGACACACCACAGTGTGTTGGTGCCGGTCGTGTGCAAGCCGCCGCCTTCGTATGACGGCCCATGTGGCAGCATGAGACAAGACCTCACCAACTTCGACTTCGCCGCCAAGGTAATTAGCACAGCACACCACCCAGGCGGCATGTGATGTCCGTGTGTGTGTGTGTGCAGAGGGCGTTTGCGTTTAGGTGCCAGTTGCGTTGGCCGTGTCGAGGTTCCGCTGGCGGCTCTCTCTTTGCGTCGCGCGGCATCAACGTCCGCATCAACCCCCTCTTCCAGCGGTCGACACTTAAGGACGACGCGGCGGCCAGGAAGAAGACAGAGAGAGCTTTCACACTCACTACATAACATGAGACGAGATAAGATGAGATGAGATGAGATGAGATGAGCCCGTCGATGGATCAACTGAGAGGGACATCAATGCAAAGCAATTGACACGACTCTTTGCAAACTGATGACTGGAACGTGTAGTGCTTGTGCGCGTGTGGCTGGGTGCCTGTCTGCCATGAGATGGTTGACGTACTGATGAGATGGTTGACGTCAAGCCACTCTCAGTTCCCTAGTGAACTGACTCTCAGCTGAGAGGGAAACGGACAGGGTGTTGAACGACAGCTGAACACGACTCTTTGCAGATTGATCGATAATTAATTACTCTCACCCGGACTCTGATTGAATGAAGGCCATTTCACCATGGATAATTAAGGTCTCTGACTGACTCAGCCAACGACCGCTGCTGCTTCCGTAGAATTCGAACGGGAGACCGAGAAGCACTCACAGATACACACACATTAACATGACGTCAGTGTCCTATGCATTCATTCGTGTTCTTTCCATCCATCCATCCATCCATCCATCCATCCGTCCGTCCGTCCGTCCGTCAGTCCGTCTGCCGTACACACACACGTGTGCCGTCCATCCACCAACCAGCAACGCATCCTTGCCATGCCGTCCAAAGAGAAACACGACTCTTTGCAGATTGATGACTAGAACGTGTAGTGCGCGTGTGGCTGGATGTCTGTCTGCATGACGGCAGTTATCACACCCATCAATGCCCTCGAAACACCACCCCCGAGCCGTCCTATTCAAGTTGTGTTTCGAGGGCTCTCGACTGATAGGCTTTAAGGTAACGGAAAGCGACCAGATCGTCTGATCTCGAGTTTATCGGGCATCAACTCGTACCCTAGGCTTTGCATCCCTGGGGAGGGGGAGGAGCCAGTTTCTTTGCTTTTGAGTCGATGGCTGCTGTAGCATATCCCCGCTGAAGCTTTCTTCGCCCAGACCTGCGCCTGTGGCCATGTCTGATATCGGCAGCGGAGGGCTGCACCACATGGACCAACGTGTTTCCGCGTTGCCCAGCAGCTCTCATTGGACCCACTAGTGTGCTCGGACACCAGCCAGCAGTGTCGCCAGTCGAGTCGCCGGACGACTGCAGGCGGCAGAAGGCATCTGTGTGTTTGGTCTCGCCAGCCTCTCCCGTCCCCTTTGTGTGTGTTGAGTGGCGGCCTTTGTGCTGACTGAGGGTGTTGTGGTGCGCCGGTGCGATGCCGATATCGCGTTTCAACGAAACGGGGCTCAAGCCCCTCCCGACCTCCGACGAGCCGCTCGACGTCGACATAGAGGTACGCCCGGTGCGTCGCTGGGTCCAGGGGCGCGTGCCGTCAGTCAGGATACCGTTGTGTGCGGTGTCTGTGTGTTTGTGGGCGTGCAGACGTTTCCCGACTTCGACCACATGCTGTATTACTTTGAGTTTGCGTACATCGGCGAAGCTGGGCGAGGCGGGTACGTACCCACACGACGACACGGAGACAGACAGACAGACAGACGCACTCACTCAGGGACCACCAAGTCATCCATCCATTCGTGTGTATGGGGGGGTGCCATATGTCTGCTGTCTCTGCCTCAGCAATGGGTTCCTGATCAAGGTGGAGCACAAGTTCAACACTGGCCAGCTGTGGGCCGTCAAGGCCATCCCGCGCAGCTCGTTCGGGTCTGTATGCTATGCCACACAACACGCCACAGGACGCCACACCATAACGTCCCTCTCCCTCCCTCCCTCATTCATTCAAGTGTGTTGTCTTGTGCACATTACATTGTGTGTGTGCAAGGAGGCGCCAGGCCTGTGCACCGAGGCCGAGTTTGCCTCGAAGTACGCCCACCTCGTCCGGCTGCCCCTCTGCAAAAACCTCTGTGCCATCACTGACGTCGTCCAGGACGACACCTGGTTCTATGTCGTGATGGATTTCGCTGAGGGCGGGGTTTGCCCAGACGGACCGCTTCCCGAGGACGACGCCAGGCGCATCGCAAGGGACATATTCAACGGCCTCGAGATGCTGCACTCACATGGCGTAAGCAGCCAGCCAGGGAGTGAGTGGGTGGATGTAGGAGGGAGCCACCAACTACTGTACTGTGCGTGTGTGTGCAGCTGACCCACGGTGACGTGTCGCTCAACAATATTATGAAGACGGGCAAGGACAAGCGCGAGAGATACATGTTGGTCGACTTCGACAACGTATTGACGCCCACCAGCCCCAAACCAATCTCTGTCATCGGCACACCCAAGTTCCTCGTAAGCCACTCATCCAACCCACAGACACGCACACACGCACACACACACACACAGACACAGACACTGCATCTGTTGATCTCTCTGTGAGTGTGGCGGGCACTGGCAGGCCCCTGAGGGCATCTCGCGTTTCGAGTATTCTCCCGCCAGCGACATGTGGGCCATGGGCGTCGCCATGTACGCACACACACACACTGTCAACACACACATGACACCCATGTGTATGTGTGGTGTGTTGTGGTGTGCAGCTATCAGTTGCTGACGGGACGGTATCCGTTCAACATACGAGACGACGGCGCCATCGACGAAGGCCGACTGCTGTGGAAGATGCATCGGGTGGGTGGGGGGGTGAGCGATCCATCCATCCATCCAGCCGTCCAGCCGACCAGCCGACCATTCATTCATTCATTCTGTCTGTCGTGTGTGTCCATTTGGGTGCGGTGCAGGGCGTTTACTTCTACCCGCACGACGCCGTGTCGCCGCTGGCTAAGGACCTGGTGCGGAAGCTCTTGACGGCGGACCCTGACAGCCGCATCCAATCAGGTGCGGTGGACACGTGAGAGTCGTGATTCTCTGACACACACGAGTGTGTCTATGTGTGTCCGTCTGTCTGTTCGTGTGTGTACAGCGTCTAAGGCGTTAGAGCACCCCTGGCTGAGTGCGGCCGGCAACCCCGAGCCCACCCACTCTTCGCCATGCCCTCCCTGTAGCGACGAATGAGTTTGTTGTGATGGGCAAGGAGCCACACGCCAGGCCTTCCTTCGTGTGTGCGGCCGGCAAGTCAGTGCAGACAGAGAGGCAGTCGTGGTGCGTGGGAGAGAGGCCTTCGTGTGTGTGTTGGTTGACGCATGCCTTTGGGGGGTTGGGGTGTTGTGCTATGCGTGCTGACAGCGTCCATCGATGGATGTTTGTATGTGTACATATGGTGTCCTCATTCATGTGTGTGCGCTGAGATGCGTCCGTGTGTGTGTATAGCGATCGACCGACCGTGGGCGTGGGCAGACGTACTCGTCAATCTGTGTGCAGCTGGTCATCCCTGTAGCCATTTGGAGAGTCCACCACGGATGGGTCCTGTCCAGCCATGCAGGCACGACGAACGGAGGTCGGTCAGGCAAACGGGTCTATTAATGTATGTATGTTAGGAGAGCACAAGCAGGCACATTGACATCTAGAAAAGAGGCAGGACACATCACATAGCCACAGGGCATCGAGTGCATCCTCGCCGCCCCGCCTGTCAGTCTGTCAGCCCTATTGAAAAGCAAGCCAACACCACCGCCTGCCCTTCTGAACAGGTGAGCCACGCCAGCCATCCCCTCCCACGTAACCACATCATGCGCACCCGCCTGCAGCGCCAACACCCTCCCTCCGTCACTCATCCGACAGTGACGGTGATCTCAGTGCCATCGATGGCCACCCCCTCCATCATCTTGTTCATCGGGAGTTACACACGTAAAGGTCCATCGTCATCTTGCCTGACTGAACATACACACACACACACACACACAGAGACAGCAGCATGACAGTGGATCTGCGTGTGGGTGTGTGTCCTGGTGTGTGTCAGATCATGGGAATGAGGAGGAAACCTTACATGATGATGTTCGCCTCGACACAGGTGCTTGCCTTCCTTGTGCTGGCCTTCCTGGTGCGCAATGTCGT